TGTCACTTATTTCCGAGGATTTTCCAGATACTGTATCAAATCAACTGCATAAAATATAGATAAAGATTTTACTTTTTTACCCAATCTTGTACCTATAGTTGGCTTTGTTTCTCTAACTGCATTGGCTGATACCTCTAAAGACATATGTTTGACAAGGAGAGAATGTACAGCTATTGTGTTAAGTTACAATAACAACAAAAAACAACACGCAGGGCCTAGGGAGATCGCTCAGTAGAATAAGTGCTTGCCTAGCAAGCGCAAGGGCCTGAGTTCAATCCCCAGTTCCACAAAACAAAAACAAAAACAAAAAACATGCAGAGAGCAGAGTCTGCACAATCCCTTTTCCTAAGCATGCACTGAGACACTCTAGGTTCGTATTCATATGTGTGTGCTTATTCGTCTGAACGTGCAAGCATCCTGCGCAGGAATACATGTCCCAGATGCTGGGAGTGGAGGAAGCAGTATTATTAGTTTATACTGGCTGTTCCTCTAAGTTGTTAGCCACAAAATTATGTTTATTTCACAATGTTCTTGGTTTTTAAAAACCCGTAGGTGAAGGAAATGGTGACGCGGTGTTCTGAGCACGGGAGGCGGTGCACGCACAAAGGCAGCGCTCAGCTGAAAGCGCCCTCTGCTCCCTGCCGCGGCGCCTTCGGACAGCCGCCTGGAGGACCATCCTACTGCACCTGCGGGCTCGCAGCTAAGGTCACAGGGAGAGCACAGAGACGCAGGTGTGGCCCTGGAGCCAGCAGGAGCCCAGAGTGTTTCCACCGCGCTCGCAGCTGTGCCTGCAGAGGAGGGACGCAGGAAGAAGTCACGTGCTGAAAGTCACCTGCAGCAGAGCGGAGCAGCGACTCGAACCCAGACCTCCGCGGTGAGCGTCTGAGACTCAAACACTCAGCTCGTCTCAGCCTTCTCAGGGCACTCGGCAGCATGATCTCCTAGGCTGGCCCGGGGACCTGGCATCCACTGCACTCAGGGGACCCAGGTCCTGGGTTACAGCACAGAAGACCCCAAGGGTATGCCTCATCCGGGGCGCCTGAGACGCGGGACTGGGAGATGGCGCCACCTACTGGTTTCCGTTGCCCCTGGGGGTGCATCAGCCCCGAAGCTGCTCCCTACCACCGATGCCCTCTGTAGCCAAGACAATGAATAAGGTGAGTTTTTCCAAACCAATGTGGAAATGGTCTCCTCATGGAGTTTACTCAAAGTGACAAAACAATTCTTCCAACATGATAAATAGACATTACAAAAGCAAACAGCTGGCAGCTAAAAGAAATGAGGACATACATGCACTGGGACACATATGGTGGAAATTATTAGAAAGCCTAGTAGCAAAAAACTGGGTGAACATTTTACCCACGTGAAATACTACACGGCAATGAAAAAGAACAGTCTATTAAGACATACAGCAACTTGCATGACTCTCACAGACATTAAATGGAATGAAAGAAGCCAGACTCACAAAAGCGGGAACACAGAAGGAAGTTGAGAACAAACAAAGCCACCTAGAGGTGAAAGAAACCAGTACTGTGGTCTCCTCAGGGGCTGAGCAGTGGCTGGGAAAGGGTACAACATGCTTAGACCCACACTCATCTGTGTGTATAGAATGTGGGGGCTTTTCCAAATAGAAAAGATACCTCAGTAAAAGTAAGTAAATAAAAAGCCTTGAAAACAATGAAGAAATGTGTAAGTGTGTGTGTGTGAATCTGTTTTGAGAAAACACTACCAGGATATACTCCAGGCAGTAACAATGCTTTTATCTCTGTGGAGGGTTGTGGTGCTTTGGAACCATGGAGAACTCTCTTATTAATCTCTCTGCTTTATTTCATATGCCCTGAAGTACATGTAAAGAAATTTAAAACAACATAAAACAAGATCACACACACACACACACACACACACACACACACACACACACACCCTACACAGACGGTACTGTAGATGCTGCGTTGGACCACGGCTCTCCCCAGCAGGCCCAGCTCTGGCCCAAGCCCTGCTCCTGTACAGCCCCACAGTGGGGGTGTCCTTCCTCCCGTGTGGCTTTGGTCTTCCTTCCTTGCAGACCCTTGGGGCTCCCTGTCGCCTGCTGCCTGTGCGGAGCCTGCAGCACTTACCTGCCGACACGGAGCCTCTAGCCAGCTTGGGGAGCAGCAGGTCAAGCTGCCGGAAGGTGTGGAAGACGTCAGCTGAGTGGCTGCGGTCCTCGGCCTGGCTCTCGGGGGTGCCTGGTGATGCCTCCACACCATACAGGGTCAGGAAGCCGGCTCTGGGGACAGCAGCAGCAGGTCAGGGTCCTTCTTGGAAACCTGCAGCCCACACCCCACGGTGGTCGAGAAACTTCTGTACTCATTCACCAGGGAACTCTGTGTGCTGCACGGTGCTGGGCTCGCAGCTGATGTCCAAGAATCCCCGTCCTTTGGGGCTGATGCTGCAGCCCAGGGAGATGCACAGCAAGGAGTAGGGGAGAGTTATAAGAGCAGGGATTGGTTCAGGAAGGGTGGGGTGGGGACAGGCACGAATGGCCTAGAGCAGAGCTCACTGGGAAACTGCAGGGTGAGAAGGAACACACATGGGAGGAGCGGGAGGGGGTCAAGAAAGAGCAAACAGCAAGTGCAAGCGCCCTGTGGCAGGGAGGAGCTGCAAGGGTTGATGGCACTGAGCAGGCTGGTGGGGCCGAAGCAGAGTGGGCAAGGGGGCTGTGGGATGCGGTTGGGAGCAGAGGTGAGGAGACGAGACGCCTGGAAAGGGTCAGGGGAGGCCTCCTGCAGGAGCCAGGGGTTGTGCTGAGGCCTGCAGGATAAGCGGGGGAGAGGCAAGGGAGGCAGGCAGGCAGGCAGCAGGCACAGGCCAAGCCTAGGCCTGGTTAGAGCGCTGGCCGGGACGCTGAGGCCGGTGGCTGGCCCACGCATTTCTGCCAGTGTGTACAGTGGAAATAAAAACAGCGAACTCAGGGGCCAGGAACTTTCAAGGTGCGGATGGAGGGATCTTCCCCAGCACCTCTGTATCAAAACATCCGGCTACACGGTAAGCACCTGCGCAAAAACACACACTACCCCTAGGTGGCGCTAGGCCCTACAAAGAAGCACCAAGCTGGGCCCAGCCAGCCGTTGGGGTGTCAGGAAGGCCTCTCCAAGGTCCTTGAGATGCAAGGTGAATGAGAAACCATGCAGATGAGGGGAACACAGTGCAAGGGCCCCGCGAGGGAGCGCGCCCAGCCTGCTCACGGGGCAGCCAGCAGGCCGCTGTGAAGGGAACTTCGGGATCTGTCTAGAACCGGGTGCGAGGGTCAGGCCCTGCCCTTCACGGGTCTGGGCGAATCTGCACCTCCGCCTCTGTGTCCCAGTGGTCCAGCTTGCCCATTCCCTCATCCCCCACCCTTTCTTTTCCAGGCCTGGGGATGAAACCCTGGGTGGCAAGCACCCACACAGACCCTGAACTATACCCACCTTAGCGTCCTTGTTATTTATTTTATTTTCAGACAGGCTCTTACTAAATTGCCCAGGATGGCCTTGAACTTGCAATCCTCTTGCCTTAGCTAGGATTACGGCCTTGCGCCGCTGCATCTAGCAACTGTCCATTCCCTTTCTGTTTAGGCTGCAGATGGCCACAAAGGCCCATAGGTGCAGAGGCTGGAGGCAGGAGCTCCGGGCCAGTAAAGAATGGACTAGACTCGCACTGGACTCCCCCTGCCCTAGGCCTGCCCTACCTGCTCCCCTCGCTCGCTCCCTGCCCTGCTCTGGGATCTAAGAGGCCAGAATCCACCAAGGAGTTTAAGGCCCTGGGACAAGTGGGAGCCCACTGCCATGAACTTGCTGGGAGCTTTTTACCGTCCCCCAGGACCCGTCCTACAATAATGGGGTCACCCAGACTATTTCCACCCATGCTGTGTCTGCCTCGTCTAGGCAGAGGACAAAAATGGGGACACACACACACACACACACACACACACGGGTATGGTTGAAAGGGAAGCTCTGGAGTGGGTCTCCCCCAGCCCCACAGGGGACTCAGCAAACGACTTAGGGTCTCAGCTGTCCCCTCTGTCAGATGAGGTATAGAAAGTGCCGGCTTCGAGGCACTGTTGTGAGCACTGCATCGCCCTGTGGTGTCTACACAGATGTACAGCAAGGTCAAGCGTGTGCGCGGGTGCGCATGCGCACACACCGCACCCACACCCTGGCACCTGGAACGGCTGCTCTCCGTGTATGCAGGCTTCCAGAGCCCTGATAGAAGCCGCTCAGTTACGGGCAGCACCCAAAGTCAAGACCTTGTCCTTAACTCACTGCTCTCTCTACCCCAGGCCGACCCCGGCCCTGCCACCGCCTACCGCCCACAGTTACCCACATTCCTGCCCTCTCTCAAACCCAGGTCCTCACTCCTTCCCTGGGTGAGTGACTACAGGGTCCTCCCTTCACCCAACTGCCACCCAGTTTCCTTGCAGTAACCAAAGAAAACCCCTTAATGTCATTCCCTCATGCTGACAGTGAGGCCCAAAGCCTTCCAGAGTCCAGGCTCAGTGAGACCTGGTTCTGCCAGTTTCTCTGACCTCATCCCCAGCTTGTCTCTGGGCTCACTCCCCTCCGTTCACACTGGCCCTCCTGTCGAGCTCCTTTCCACCCCTGGGCCTTTGCATCTGCCATTTCCTCTGCCAAGACTCTGGCCCCTTGGGCACCTTGGAGTTAGGCCTCAGCCCTGGGGTTGGACCTGAGAGCCTCCCTCCCTGGACAGTCTGGCGGAAAGGCCCCACTTGCAGTCACCCCCAGTGGATCCTCCCTCATGGTCACCACTCTCAAAGTAAGGACATCTGTTCCCTGATGCATCCCAAGAGCCCAGAGAAGCCCAGAGTGAGGCCAGGACAGGAGGGCACCCAGCCCTACTGAAGGAGGAAATACTTGTGCCACTTTTACTGTAAGGTTAGAAGCTCTGAGTGCAGGTCTAGGCCCTGAGCTGGCCTCCCAAACATCTTATCTTGCTAATGGGTAAAATCCGGATTTGGGAAACCACGGACCAAGGTAGCCCCTGGCCTTACTTGCTGCTCCTTCTCTGGATGCCCACAGGGCCTTTCCCAGCTCAGGGGCTGGGCCAGGAGAACCTGGGGCCCCAGCACACAGTGTCCTCCCTGTGCGGATTCTCTGGGCCGCATTCCAAAAGTGGCCGTTCCTGTGGCTAGGCACAGTCCAGTGTGGGCCCCCGCTGAGCTCACCTGAGCAGGGCACTGTAAGAGAACTCGAGCAGGCCCGCCTTCCGCCAGTCCCCGGCTGCCTCCGCAGGCTCGCCCAGCAGGACGGTGCAGAGGTTGGTGTACATGGCATCTGTGAGTGCCTGCAGGTCTCTGTGCTGCAGGGTCCTGAGGTGGGTGACAGAAGGGTGCAAGTTCAGGTCCCAGAAGGAAACATACACCCTCAGCCACTTCTCTCCCCACCTAGGGCCCCTTAGCTCATAGCGCCTGCTGGAAATGAGGACCAAGACACTCTGATTCTTACCATCACTATCAGCAACAAGACAGTTACTCTTAAGGTGAGCTAAGCATCAGACCTCACCGCACAGGCATAACAGTTACAGGTGGAGACACAGGAAGGCGGGGAGTGGACCTTGCCCTTGGCTGGCCGCACGCTGACGAGAGGCACAGCGGGACGGAGGCCCGGTCGCCCAACTCTAGTCTACACCCGCCTGGCTGGGGCAGTCAGTCCCTGCCTGGGGCACATTACTGGAAGAAAAGGAGCTAAGAAGTCAACTCCTCCCTGTAGCCCAGGGAGGCCCTGTTTAGAGAGCTAAGCATCCCCTGATGGAGGAATGCTAAAGAGACACGACTTCAGCTGTATGAACAAACATGAAGGGCTCAGCTTGGGCAGGGACCCTGTCTGGAGAGCGGCAGAAGCGAGCAGTCTCTCTGCCAAGTCCCCATGATGCTGGGCCAAACTTCAGGTGTGTTTTAAGGCCAAGAAACAGAACTTTTCTCCAAGGGGTGGATGGCCAGATGAGTAGACCAGGCAGCACATGGCCCATGACCAGCAGCGACTCCTGCTGGCAGCAGAATGAATTGCCGGTCTGTATGGGTGAGGGACTCCCCACTGGAAACAGTTTTTACAGTACAGCTGTTGTGGAGCCAGGCACGCCTGCCCCAGTCTTTGCACCACCCACCCAGCCACCCCCGAGACCAGCTCCAGCCACTCACAACTTCATCTTGGCCTTCTCATCACTGGGGTCATAATCGGGGAGCTGCACCTTGAAAATTCTCTCCATGAGGATGACAGCATAGGCCTGGAAATCCAGCTTGGTGCGCGGCTCCCACATCACCGTGTCGTAGGAGTGTGGGTCCAGGAGGACAGTGACATACCTGCCCCCCACCAACACCTGTAGGAAGGAGGGTCACATGAACCACAGCTGTGGTTTATACCTAAAATGTCCCCTAGTGTTCCCAGGTGGAACTTTGGGGGGTGACTTATATGGGCTCATTAAGGTAATAACTGTATTAGTCCACTGACTGGACTACTGAGGTTCTGGATATAGCTGGGTGGATTACTGACAGCAGAAGAACCACCTTGCATGTGAGAGGCACCAACCAATAGGCTTGGAGCCCGAATGGGATGAAAAGGGAAGGGGAGGCTCGCGACTGCTGCCTCTGGCCTGCCACACAGTGAACTGTTTTTCCTCTGCCGTGCTGCCCTGCCTTAGAACCAGGGAGGCTACGGACTGAAACCTCTACAAACTGTGAACTAAAATAAATTTTTCCTCCTTTAATTTGTAGGTGTCAGGTATTTTGTCCCAGCAACAAGGAAGTAACTAAGACAACCACACACTTCTCAGTGGTTGAAATATCTCACCTGCCAGGTGCTGCCCTAAAAGACTGAGCAGTATTTTTACCTACCTTCACCACCACCTAAGAGGCAGAAACCATCACTCACCTATGCAAAAGTGAGGTGAGGTGTCCCAGATTTCACCAGTGAGAAGTGGCAGAACTAGGGCGGGAATTCAATACTTTTTAAAGCAAAGCCACCTGTCCTGCAAGCACCCACCATGGTTGTCTTGGTTAGTTAGGGTCAAGTCTCTGCAGCCCAGACAGTCTGCACAGAGGGCAGTGAGTGGGTGGGTGCATGGATTTGTGTATAATGGATGGATGAATGGATGGATAGATGGATGGATGGGTGGATGGGTGGGTGGTTGGCTGGAAGGGTGGATGGATAAATAGGAAGGATAAATGAATGGATGGAAGGAAGGGAAAAAGAAAGGAACAGAAGGAAGGAGGGGGAAAAAGGAAGTAATGGAGGAGGGAGGGAGAATGCAAGGGTTAGTGCTAGTGGCTAGAATGTTAAATGAATAAATGGAAGGGCAGGTCAAGGAATCTACTGTTGGGTGAAGAGATGGATAAATGGGCAGCTGGAGGTTGCCTGGAAACATAATGCATGAAGAAGTATTGAGTACAAAGGAGGCAGGATGCTAAGGAGATAATGAGCAAAGAGGTTGGAGGATGAATGTGAGGTGGATGGAAGTTAGGAGGGCACATGGAAGCGGGGCTAATGGGTGATGGTGGCTGTTCGCGTGAATTCTGGGAGAAGGGACAGATGGCAGTACAAATAGATGCAGATTGAAGTCAGATACTGACTGGCTAGGTAGCTGATGTTGGTGGATGGAGGTAGATGGACAGAAAGATGGGTAAATAAATCCAGGAATGGAAGTTAGTGGGAATTGAATTTAGGGATGAAAGGTCAATAGGTGCTGGGGACATGAGTGTAAGAACTCTGGGTAAATTTCAGTAGGCAGAAGGATAAATGATGGATAAATAAGTGAATACATGGGGTGAATCAATGAAAAAAGACAGGTGAGGGGTGGTGGGAAGGCGCTGGGAGGATGCTGAGCGGAGGCAGGAGATGGGAAGATGAACCTTGGAGAGACCGAAGCTGCATGAATGGGTGAGGTCAGCCAAACGGCTGTATAAGTACCAGACATCGAATGACTATGTAACTCCATAATGTTGCAAGAGCTGAAGGGATAATTAAAATATGGAAGGCTGAGGAGCGCTGGGTGCACAGGTGGACAGAAAGTGGGCTGGCCCGGGTGTGCCAGGTGGGGGATGGCCTATGGCCAGGTGTTGGGAGGAGGCCAGCTGCTCGTTCCCTTCCCTCCAGAGGCAAGGAGGCACTTACAGTAAAGATGTCACCGTGCTTCTCCTTCATCCTAGTGAGGAAGCTGGCAGCATCTCTTCCAAACTCCAGAGCGTGGCCCAGCCAAGGAATGCTGCCCAGGTCCAGCGGAGGCTCACCAGGTCGCCTGCAGAAGCCACAGCACTTAGCACCACTTGGCAAAACAAGGCGGGGGGTTGGGGCCAGGGAGATAGCTCAGTAGAATAAGTGCTTGCCTGGTAAGCACAAGGGCCTGAGTTCAATCCCTGGTTCTGCAAAAAAACAAAAACAAGCAAACAAAAAAACAAAACAAGGCGGGGACAGAGTGCCACCAAGGGGGGGCTCCTGGAGGGGTGAAGGCAGGCTCCACCGACAAGGTGGCGGGCAGAGACGGTGATGGTGAGGGGGCAGCCTATGGGCACTGAGAAGAAGGCTTTCCAGGAACACAGCAGGTGCAGAGGCCCTGAAGTTGAGCTGTGTGTTCAGTAGGGAGCCAAGCTTGGCTGGACTAAAGATGGCAAGAGGAAGCCCTGGGCATTGAGGCCAGAGAGGTGATGGGGACAGGCCAGAGTCTCACAGGCAGCTGTGAGGACTTCAGATTTTTGCTTGAGTGGTGTAGGAGCCAGGGGAGATTTTTAGGCAGTGAAGGGACACGAGATGCCCGCTTGCTTGGCCTGAGGCCGGGAGGTCAGAACCAGCCGTGAGTGGAGAATGCAGCAGTAACACCCCGCTGACTTGGAAGGCAGACTCCTAGGGCAACCCCATGGCCACACCGGTGATGCTCCCTCAGTCAGTGACACACAGGCGGCTTTTCTCAGTGACCCTGAGAAAAACTGCTCTCCTTAAGAGACCTCACCCAACTGGTGAACCTTTTTTTACACTAATTCTTCTCTATGCTGGTTATTCATGTTCTGGATCTTTTTGCTTAGCTCTGCTGGATTTTTATAGGTGTCTTCTGCAGGATTGCTGATACGGTTTATTTGGCCCATTATCTACGTATGTCTTCCAAATGCCATATTGACCTGTTGTGTTATCCTTTTAGATACTCCAGGAGTGTGGCTCTTGGTTTTCACCCCTTTTATGCTCCAGGTCAGCTGTGGGAATGCTGGGAGTTCTGGGAGGCATCTGGCGTCCTTGTCTTCCCCTGTTTCTGTTGGATGTGTTGAGGCTTATGGGTCCTGGTAAGCTTTGTCACTAGGATTGAGACCACTTTAGCTCATGCCTACTCTTCTTCAGTGCCCTGCGTGTGTGGCTGAGTACTGGTCTTTGCCTCTGTCTGAGGATCCAGCGCCCTCCATTTCTGTGGGCAAAGAAGCTGTGGTGTGTGTGGCTTAGTACCCAGTTGTCCAGGAATGGGCCGCCATATTGTTAATGAGCCCAAGGAAGCCAAATATTGGCATCCAGAGAAAACCAACTGAAGGCATCAACTGTGTCACCTTGGTTACAGTAATAAAATCAGCAATAATAGCCCCAAAGACAAACTGAACACGGACAGACTCTAAGGAACGATAATGTGTCATCCTTGACCATAGGGAAGAGATCTACAATTACAGCTTGAACACAAACCAACCTATGATTGACCTACAGCAAGAGGGCTGAAGAGATAGCTCAGCAGCCTATGTGCCCACCTGGCAAGCACAAGGTCCTGAGTTTGATCCCCAGTACAAAAAAATATTGACCTACAGCAAATACCTACTAATTGGAACAACTTTACCCCCACTAACAATAGAACAATATTGAATAGTAATAGCAGGGGGCTTGCGGGCTAGCTCAGTTGTTTAAGCACCTGCTGGGGCAAATCCAGTCAGGTTCAGGGGACTGCAGTTCGATCCTCAGCTGAGCTCCGTGTGCCTTACCAGACCCGCCCTTAAGGCAGCCTGAGCCAGCAAAAAAAAAAAACAAACAAAAAAAAAAAATCCTTCTCAATTTTGGGTTAATCAAATAGCTCAGCGGATTAAAGTGCCTGCTTAGGTAGATATGGCGGCTGGTCCGGTCTTGCCATGCCAGCCCTGCCCCCAGGGTGCACTGAGACGGTGATTGAGACTGGGCGTGGTGGCGTGTGCCTGTAATCCCAACTTTTTGGAAGGCTAAACACAGGCAGATCACTGAGTCCAATCTATGTAGTGAGACCCCGTAGACCCTGTAGATCCCTACTAAAAAAAAAAAAAAAAAGAATAGTAATAACATAGAAGTAGCTAGCTACTTATCTAGAGATTCATGGTAGTCATACTAGAAAAGGTAGGGAAAGTGGGGAATCAGAGAACAAGAAAAGTAAAATGTGAAAAATTGGAGCCAGGGAGATAGCTCCATGGCATAAGTGCTGTCTGGTAAGTGCAAGGCCCTGAGTTCGATCTCCAGTACAAAAAACAAAAAAACAAAACAAAAAGAAACAGCACTTAATCAATGGGTAGGAGAAAAGAGAGAGTGGGAAATAAAGGAGTAAGAAGGAAACTGACTGAGAAAACAACCACAGGAAAGAATGAACAAGAAAAACAGCACATTACGGGAAATGAAAGTTAAGAGGCAGAGAAAGAAGGCGAAATGAGAAAGAGGAAAAAGAATAGAAACTAAAAAGAAAAACAAAACTAAAAAAAAGACAAAAAGACAAAAGGTGCTGGCACACTGTGTGGCCAGCGAGGGCCTGCTCACTTCCCAGAAGGGCAGCATGTAGGGGAGAACCTTGCTTGCTGGCTCTCGGGACAGAAGGAACATGGGTGCCCCCAGGCACTGTGAGGGGACCCAGGCTGACAGCAGGTGGGGACACGGGGCCTTGGTCCTCCTTCTGAAAGCCAGGTTCTCCTCTTGAGCTTCCCAGGGAAAGGCATCTGGCACCACCACCATATCAGAGCCAGGGGCACCACACCCAACGACCCCAATGACTTCTGGCCATGGCTGAGTGACTGACTGACTGCCTGCTGCAATATTTAGTGGTTTGTTCTGCAGAGGTAAATAACTGCTCTCCTCAGGCCCACAGCGCACAGATGAGGTCTTGCCCTGAGTCATGTCCCATCTTGTCCTTGTCACCCTATGAGGGAGGGACCATGAGCTAAGGAAGCCTTCATCAAGACCACAGAATGAAGCCAGGCATGGTGGCACACGCCTCTAATCCCAGCACTCAGGAGGCTGAGGCAGGAGGACCGCTGCAAGGTTGAGGGACCAACCTGAACTATATAGTGAGACCCTGTCTCAAAAATCAAAACAAAGCAAAACAAAATATCAGGGCCAGGGATATAGCTCAGCGGCACAGCACCAGCCTGGCAAATGTGAGGTCATGAGTTCAATTCCCAGGGGCGGGAGATATCACAGAAATGAAGCTCCAAGGCTCACAATGTGTAGACCTGGAACTCACAGAGGATCCCTGAAGTCTCTAAAAACAAGTTAGGACCCTGTCTTAGCCTTAGAATGATTGAAAATTGATAGGAAATTGACAGAGTTAGAAAACAGGTGCAAGGGAGCTGGAGGCTAGCTGGACAGTCTAAGCGCCTGCCTGGAAGCACAAGATCGAGGGTTCGATGCCTGGTACCACATGCCATGCCAACCACTGAAACCAGGCATGGTGGTGCACATCTGTAATCCCAGCACTGGGGAGGCTGAAACAGGAGGATCACTACAAGTCCGAGCTGCACAGTGAGACCCTGTACCAAATGAATAAATAAAAAGATGCTTAAAAAAGAAAACAGTTGCAAGAACTGGTCAAGAAAAACAGCGTAATATAGGAAGTGAAGGATAAGAGGCAGAGAAAAAAGATGAAAGGGGAAAGAGAAAAGAAAAGAAACCAGAGTCCCAGAAATGTAGAAAGCCCAGATGTCTGCTGAAGTGAACAAGAGGCTGAGGAACAGCTCAGAGCTAGAGCCAGTGCTCAGCACACAGGAGGCCCAGGGTCCACCCCAGGGCTACAGATGAATGAATGGATGGATGGATGGATGGATGGATGGATGGATGGACAGAATGAAAGGTGCTCAAAGGATTTGGATGCGCAATTCTTGAAAGTAAATACATAAACCACCCTTGAGGGCCAGCCAAATAGCTCAGTGGATTAAAGCACCTGCAAGCAGATGCAAGGGCGAGGGGTTTGTTCTCCAGGCCTGCCGTGCCGGCCCTGCCCCCCGGGGCACAGAGACAGCAGTTGAGACTGGGCATGGTGGCGCACACCTGTAATCCCAGCTCTTGGGAGGCTGTAAACAGGCAGATCACTAGAGTCTGATCTAGTAGTGAGACCCTGAACACCCTGTAGACCCTTCCCTAAAAATACAAAAATGAAAACTAAAAAATAAACCACCCATGAGCAGACAGAGATGCTCACCACCCTTCATCACTGCTGACACACAAATCAAAATGAGACTGAGGTGCCACTTTATGCCCACAAGGATGAGTGCAATAAAACACTTAAATGGAAAGTAAACATTACCCAGGATGTGGAGAAATTGGGACCTTCATTGGAGTGGAAAAGGGTGCGGTCTCTGTAATAACCAGTCTGGGTTTGTAAACACAGACTTACTCTGTGACCCAACAGGGCAGCCCTGGCACTGCAGACACGCGGTGGTGCAAGAGCTGGCACATGATCCCTGATGGCAGCATTACTCATAACACTGTCATCACAAAGTGAAATCAATCCAAACGCCCATTGACTGACTAACAGATGAACCAAATGTGGTATGTCCACGCCATGGAACGTTACTCAGTGATAAAAGGGAGTGAGCTTCTGATTCATGTTGCCACATGGCTGCCACGTGGCTGAACCGTGAAACCATCAGGCTACATGAATGAAACCAGACACGAGAGGCTGCACACTCTATGATTTCCTTTTAGAGAAATATCCAAAATTGGGGAAATCAACAGAGACAGAAAGTCTATCAGTGGTTGCCAGGGGAGCAGGGAGTGGCTACAAGCAGACACAAAGTTTCTGTGAAACAGGATGAAATTCTGCAATTTCATCTTGGTGGTGGTTGCTCAATCCTGTGAGCATGCTAAGAACTGCTGAACTGAATGCTTTCAAGGAGCACATTTTACGGTATGTGAACTACATTTCATTAAAGAAATAAATAAGGACAGGTGTGGTGGTGCACACCTGCAATCCCAGCACCTGGGAAGCTGAGGCAGGAGGATCGTTTTGTGAGTTTGAGACCAACCTGTGGTAAAAAGCGAGCTCAAGGCCTGCCTGCACTGCATAGTGAGACCCTGTCTCAAAATGACAAAACAAAAAAGGGAAGAAGTGTGATTGAGACAGTGGGGGGACGGAGCAAAGAAGGTAAGTAATCAAGGACAGCCTCTCCAAGAGGCTCCATGTGAGCAAGGACTGAAAGGATGAGAAGAGGCGCTCTGGAAAGGCGCCACAGATGGAAGAAGCAGCAGGTGCAGAAGTGCTGCGGTGGAGCACTCTGGACGAGGTGGTCAAGACAGAGGAGCTGGTGTAGCAGGGGTAGAGAATGGCCAGGTGAGACCTGAGCAAGGATGCTGGAGATGACCTAGAGGGCCTGAATGTCATGGTGAGAGTCTGGCTTCTAGGCCAAGTGTGAGGGCACTCGGTGGAGGATTTGAAACTGGACTCAGGAAGTGACTCCACAGACAGCTACGCTAGGTAGAAATTTTATAGGCAGTCACACAGGGGCAGGCACTCTAGGGAGTCAGTGCAGAAGATGGGAACACATTACAACTGGGGCTGGAGGTGCGTCTGTGAAAATCCAGGCCTCGGGATAAAGATGGAATGACCAGGCCTAATGCCTCTCCAATGGGATAAACACAAATAAATTGAAGATTGTACTATAACCGGGATCCCCTGGGCCAATGAAGTCTAGATAGACACCAGTCACTCCAGTGGGTGACCAGGACTTCCTGACTCATCTTATCCAAAAACAAATCCTTGTTCTTTCCATGTACACTTGTTACATGACCTGCTTCCCAACTGGACCAATATTACCCAATCAGCTATACTAGTAATCTTATTGGTTGATCAGGGTTTGGACCCACATTGGGCCCACCTTGCCATTTTGCTCTGTAAAGCTTCCCTTGAGAAGCGGGCTCTGTGGCAACCCACTTTCAGGTCCCCTCCGGTCTCCCAAGAGCTCTCTCTCTCTCTCTTTCTCTCTCAATACATTTTTCCTACTTTCAACTTCCATTGTTCCTTACAATTCATTCTTTGACTTCAGGGAACTTGAACTTGGGTATCTGACCTCTAGCAGGCTAAGAGTTCTGGGTTTTTTTTTCCCCCTATATCAGTATGACTATGCTTTTACAGGGTAGCAATAGAGAGAGGCAAGAGGAAGTAACGAGACAACAGAGCCTACTATGACTGCTCAGAAGGCCTAGCATCTGGGTCCCCCACTTCCAGAGCAGGAAGCGTCCATCCACACACAGCAGTTCAGGGGTCCATCCATCCCTCCCCTCCTTCTCCCTCCTTATCTGTCCCCCAGCATAACCCAAGGGGTGGGATGGGGTGGACAGGAGAGAACAGGTAGGCTTGAGGACTAGGGTTGCAGGAAGGTGGAGACAACCCAGAGAAGAAGATGGAGGACTTGAACTCACTTTGTAGCCCAGGGTGGCCTTGAACTCACAGCAATCTTCCTCCCTCAGCCTCCCTAGTGCTGGGATTATAGGCTTGCGCCACATCTGGCCCAGCCAAGCTTTCTGCTGGCTGAATGACAGCCTCTCTGGGCCTCAAGTGCCTGGCTTATAAAACAGGAGCAACAATACTGTGGACTTTCTCAGACTGTGAATGGGACAAAGTGAGTCATAGAGCACCTCAGAGAGTACCCAGCACTTGCAGCTTGGATGCCGTTAGGAAATAGGATCAAGAAGACTCCCAGGTGCATAGATTAAGCAGATTGAGTACCACCTACACCTCAGGCACTGGGTTTGGCATTTCCCACCTCTCCCTGCTTGGTAAGAAGAGCCAACTGCAGAGCCCTGACTGCAGGAAGCACCATGCTAAGCACTTCCCCCCACTAACACAATGCATCCTACCCAGACTGTGAGGAAGACACAGAATCTGACAGGCCCATTTTACAGAGGAGGAAACTGTGACAGAGTGGCTGAGTCACTTGCCCAAGGACCCACCATAGAGGAGCTGGGTTTCCATCCAGGAAAGTCAGGCTACACAGCCTAAGCTCTTGATACCTCAGGGGCTCCCAGGCCACCCCAGGGGACGCTGACATGCCACTTTGCAGATAGGGAAAGCAAGACAGAGCTCAGTGGTCGATCTACACATGGGCATGAAGGCTTTCCCTGAGGCATCTAAGGGTGAAGGCTTTCTCACCTGCCCTTTCTCCACTTTACTTGGCACTGCCCACCAAACCAAGTGTTATTCCTGGCAGCTGGCCTCTTTCCCCAGAAAAGTCCCAAGGTGGCGCAGACAAAAGCAGGAAGCGGGAGTCCAGGCACCCGGCCTGATGTGGCTGGCCGCTTCCCCTGGCCTGGCTCCTCATGCTACCCAGGTCCAGCCACATTCCAGTGTGACTCAGCCTGCGGCCAGCTGAGGCAAGAGGCTCTGTTTCAGAGCCTGCGGTCTCCAGCCTTGCCCGCTGACACTCTCACTTCTGGGACACTGCCAAGCCTGGTCTGGGAGCTAAGCGAGGCTGGCCCCCCTCCCTGCTCTTGCTCCCACAGAACTGTGGCCTGCTTACCTGATTCAGATGCAGGATACCCCTTCTGATTCTCCCTGGAGTTCTGACTCCCTGCAGGAACCTAGCTGTCTTTGCTCATTCAAAGACCCCTTGGCCTGCCTGAGTCTCTCCCCCACCAGACCCCTCAGCTGGGCTGAAGCCAACTCTGTTTCTGAGTAAACTACTTAGCTTCTTCTTCCCCAGGGTGCCTGACAGGCCACCAGGGGTGTCTACCTGCAATCAACAGAGAGTCACTTTTAGCTCTACCACACCTCCCCACATTGCCTCCTGCCACATAGAAAAAGCAGGGAGCCTTCTTGGTCTGGTTTCTGATTTCCAATTTTTGAAACAGACACAGATTTGTATCATTATCAATAGAAAGGAACGGCAGCAGAGGAAGCACAAGGGTAAGTGGAATGGGTGCAGGATGGAGGAGCATGGCGGGTAGGGGTACCGAGGCAGGCTTAGCCAGGGCTGGGTCTACCGTGGAGTCCTGGGAAGGTGTGGCCACATCTTCCAGTTCTTTTCAAGAAGCTTCTGCCTTGAGTTTTTACATATGGAGGCCCCCAATTTTCTCTCCTCACACTATCTGGTACAAACCAGATGTTAGATTAGGCTGCGGCCCACTGTAGACTGACCTCTGTCTGACCTGGTACCGGATGCTGGAATAAAGCAGATTTACTTGCAACCTAGAAATTCTGCATCCTATGGGGCCCAAATCAGCCCACAAGCCACAGGAACCCTTTCCCAGAATCCACAATCCCTCTCACTGCCTCCACCTTCCCCAGTGTGTCCCACAGGCCCAGAGATCACAGCATGTGTCTGGAACATTGATAGCACAGGAAAGGGCCAAAAAATCCATCAATAGGAACATAAATAAATGAGGTACAGGGACCCTGAAACCTCATTCCATCAAGTGATGGACTACAGAAGCTTCAAAGAACAGATTAGGTCTCCACACAGCAGCATGAACAAACGTCAAACCTGAAATCTGGAGAGAACAACAAAAACCGAAGTACATTCTGAAAACATGTCTACATAATGTTGGAAAGCCTGACGAGTTTAGAAAAATAACTCCTTGATCCGCAGAGAAACTGATTCCCCCCCCCCTTTTTTTCTCCAGGTGAATGTTTGAATCCATAGTTTTAAATTTCATCTGGGAAAAGTATACTGGAGAAATGAAGAAAATTACAGAGAGCTTATTATTTGACAAATCCACTAACATACTGTTTAAAAAATGAAAGTCTCCAATGTTTCTGGAATTTTCAGACACTAATGTAAATACAACACACACTATACTGACAAGTTCATACCTACGCATCTAGAGGAATTATTAAAACATCTGGGGGAAATTTTAAAAAAATAAAACATGTGGGGAAGCCGAGAAGAGATGCCAACCACAGGTGAGGCGCTGGTCTGGGGCATTCATGCAGAAGTTGATTAAGTACCCCTGAAGTTAAAGGTAATGATCAGCCTTGGAGTCTTAGTTTTGACAAATATACAACAAATATAACAAAGGGAGAAACAACCAGGGAGACGTCAGGCCTTTTTAGTATCTCGGCAACTTTTCTGTAAATTTCAAACTAGTCTGAAAAGCAAAGTACATTTAAAAAAATCTGTAAAGTTCTACCCAGAAGAGCATCGAGAGGCCCAGGAAAGGGGAGTGGACTTGAACCCAGATTGTGGGGCTTCAGTCTTGACTAGGACAGGATGAGTATTTGTGAAAAGTCAAATAGATCCTGCTATCCTCGTACAATTCAGATTAATTTTAAAACTGCTTTATTAAAAAGAAGAAAACCTACTGCAAGCACCCTGATTTTGATTGCGTTCCAGTTTTTCCTTGAGATTTCCCCGAGGCGCAGAAAAGCCTTTGGGACCATGGGCCTAGACAACTGCCCTGGGTCTCCCTTGTCCTACGGTGGAACCTCAGGCCTGGACGCCATACAAGCCTCAGTTTCTCCCCAAGCAAACGTTAATGCTGAGCCTATGGACCCCACTCAGGATTGCAGGACCCGTACTCCCGCAAGAGGTAGCTCCAGGACGCTGTGCCACCACCCCTGCCCCCCAGGCCTCTACTTACCCACCCACAATTCTCGGCCTGCGCAGGGGACACGGGGCACTGGTGGATGCGACCCTCCCCCCCAGGCACCTTCCTCCTGCTGGGGGCACCTTCCTCGGGAGACCCGGAGTGGTCAGCTCCGGGCACAGTGGGCACCAGTGTGCCTTAGGCGGCACGCAGCCCGCGCACCTGGAGCGGGCTCGGCGCACACCTGGATGTCTGGGGACCATGGCTGAGGAAGAGGTCGGGTCGGCGTCGGGGTCGGGGACCGGGGCGGGCGGACTCACCGTGCGCGCCGGCGGCTCAGTAGCAGCAGCAATAGCAGCAGAGCGGCCAGGAGGCCGAGGAGCGCTGCCCAGGACATGGCTGGGAGAGCAGAGGCGACGGGGAGGGCGTCCCGCGCGGGAGTGGAGAGGCTGCACTCGCAGCGGCTCGGGAGGGAGAGTGGGGTGGGTGGAGGCCGGGGGAGGGGTGTGGAGAGGGGAGGAGGAAGGACAGGGGCTCGGGCGGAGGGGGGAGGAGGATGGAGCCTGAGGGGGCGCGCGGTGGGCGCAGGGGGGCGCAGGGCAAGGGTGAAGAAGATACAATGGAGAGCGTGGAGACGCAAAGGGGCGACTGGGGGGGCTGGGGGCGGTGGGCAATGAAAGGGGAGGTGGAGAAAGCGAAGGGAGGAGAGGCCTCCCACTGCTTGGCTTCCTACTGGACCAACTCGCCAGCCCCCACCCTGGGCCTGCTGGAGACTCGGGAGCTTCCCCTCCCATGGGCCAGGCTCTGTGAGTCGGGGTTCTTCGTCAGCAGCAGGGACCTGGACCTCCTGGGCGCACAAGGGGGTCAAGCATCTCCTCACCAGGCTGTGATGAGTGCTGCCCCTGGCTCCCTGAGGACCTCCCTGGGGGATGGAGACAGGCTGTGTCCCACTGCCCCCTTTCCCATTTACACCTGGCAAGTTAAGCAGGTAGCTTATCCTGAGTCCAGCTCCTTCAAAGAGCCAAGCTTACCTCTGGTGGGGTCTTCAGGTACTGGAAGCCCTTGGCACAGGTAAGTTTTATGAAACAAGGGGCTGAACAGGACCCAGGACCCCGAGGTCCGACTCTGCGCTCCCTGGCCCTGTACTCACCCTGCTCCCTGGTACGCTTGCTGTGGTAGAGTCCAGTTTCCCCACCAAAGTCCAAAGGCTCCCAGCAGAACCTTGTCAGAACCAGTCAGGAAACTTGCTCACAGCCTGCCATAGCTCCTCACTCAGGCAAACTGACCTGCATGACCTGCCAGCCACTGACTGACTCAGTGTCCTCTGCACCTATCCAGGCCCCCTGCCCTCCCCAGAGGTGCCCCTCAGCATCATCGGAGATGTGAAGCCGGCACTCCTGGCTTTCTCCTGTTTGTTAGGGGAGGGTGACATCAACCCCTCCTGCCATCCTATTAGAGATTCAGTTTGTAAATAGCCCAGTGAGTCTTATGTGTCAATGATACAGGAAAAACATGGCTCCCGACCTGTTGGATATCAAATGTGCTGAGTTCAGGGTCTCTCCACATCCAAGGGTGAGGTTCCAAACCAAAGGAGGGAGTCATGCAAGTTGTATTGGAAATAAGGAAGAGAGTGAATTAATCCTGGCTTTGCAGAAAGGGTCCCAAGTGTGTTGTCACCAAGAACCTTTGCCAGGAGTAATGGGAGGAATCAATACAGCAAAGTCACAGCACAGGACCATGTGAGTCAGACCACAATCAACCTGTAGGATCACAAGTAGAGCTAATATTAATCCAATACAGCGATGTGTCACGTTAACAGGGGTACATGGAAGAACAAAGACATGTGTGTCTGGGCTGGGTCCAGATGTCCTGGTCGCCAGTCTGGACTTACTGTCCAAGCTGCTACTGCTCCTCCTGCTGACAGCTTACTTGCTGTTTATCTCATAAGGAGGCATGTGGCTCTGGCCATTGGTCTCCATCTTAGGCCTCCGGCTACAATCTGGTTGTGTTTTGTTTTATTTTGTTTTCTTTTTGCGGAACCAGGGATTGAACTCAGGCCCTTGCGCTTGCCAGGGAAGGGCATATTCTACTGAGCCATCTCCCCAGACCCTCCAGCTACCGTCTTGATGTCTTCATTATTTGTGCTGACCTTCATGAGGGCCCACGCCCTCTCTGACTGTATACTAATTTCTATCTAACTTAGTGTAACAGTCAGGGTTTTCCTAGAGGAACAGATATAAGACAAAATAGGGCCGGGGAGATAGCTCAGTGGCATAAGCACCTGCCTGGCAAGTGCAAGGTTTCAAGTTTGATCCCTGGTACTGCCAAAACAAAACAAAACAAAAAGACAAGGTACACAAGTATGTAAGACATTATACACAAGGTTGGCTTACAGTGGTCAGGCGCAGAGTCGGATGAGGAAGTGTACAGAGAGCATCTGCACAATGGAGACCAAAGGATACAGTCCAAGGTCTGGAGCCAACTGCAGTGTCCGTGCAAGTCTGTATCGGGACGCCGGTGTGTGTGTGTGTGTGTGTGTGTGTGTGTGTGTGTGTGCAACAGGAGGCTAAAGGATCCTCAGCAGAAGCCGAAGACTGCACCCTAGAAGCCAGGAGATGATGTGCCAGGTTAAGCCTGAGCTCCTCCAAAGAACAGAAGCAGATCTGTCCTTCATTTCCCCTTTATACTATCCAGGCAAGGGGCTGCCTGGCCTCCTGCACCCTAGGGTGCACAGTTCCTGAGCCACTGCTGAGCTGATTCAGCCAAGCCTCTAGACTTCTCAAGTTGACACAATCAGTCGATCAATCGGTCAATCATTACACTTAGCTTCAGTGCTTCACACCTCCTGCTACCATTGTAGGGATTCAATTTATAAATTGCCCACTTGCTCTCAGCAGCCAAGGAAGCTGGATGAACCTCATGAGGCCTACCTCCCACCACCTCCGGGGTTCAGAATAGCAAGCGACAAGATCAAAACTCCTGGGCCTCTTGTTTATTTACGCAGCGACTTATCTGCTCACAATCCCCAGAAGACTGCAGGACGGGCCTGGATGGTGTTCTCCAAAGTAGAGCAGCTCAGGCTGTGTTCTGGCAGTTACGTTCATGGCCTGCTCAGCCACGTCCCAGCTGTGTGGCCCGGGACAGTCCACTCCAGCTGTGCAGATGGCAGTTCCACCTCATTGGAATGGGGAAGACAAGAGTTATGGCTTGTGTCCAGAGGTCCCCCCAAAGCCCTGCAGTCCCAGGGCTTCTTCAGAGGTGGCTGGATCTAGAGTGTGTGGCCTTGGGGTTGATTCGTGGTGCAATGCTAGGGTCAAGGGTACTAGGACGCAGTGACTGCTGCGGACCTGAGTAGCCTGGTGGAGATGTAAGGGATAGAAAGGTCTGCGGTCACTGTTGCTTGCCTTCGCTAGCTACCTCTGCCCACCATAAACTGTTTCTCTGCTGCAATCCCTGTCTGTCACGCCACTTTGCCTTGGAGCCAGCCATATTGGACTGAAAAATGTCCAGGACCATTCTATCTAATTGATGAGGAAAAATGATTTCATAATTAAACTGTGACTGGGGCTTGTCCCAGGTCTAGTGCCTTTCCATGCAGGCAGGCTATGGTATGGAGGAACATAATTCCACGGGCCTTCCACGATGTTTTGAGGCCCCGGGGCAAGATCAAATCTGCTGAGGATGTCCTGGAGAGTGCAATAGTAATGAGGGTAGTGTTTTAAGAGCTGGGCCTGGGCCAGACATGGTGGTGCATGCCTGTAATCCCAGCACTTGGCAGGCTGAGGCAGGAGGATCACTGAAAGTTTGAGGCCATCCTGGGCTACCAAGTGAGCTTAAGGCCAGACTGAGCTGCATAGGGAGACCCTGTCTCAAAAAAA